GATTTCAGGGTTTCTTGCGGAGGCTTCTTGTGGCCGAGCCCCCACTGCAGTGCATGCGAGTTGGCCTGGCAGTTCGATCATGAGCACGGATTCGTCCCATGCCAACGTCGAGCGAGCGAGCGAGGCGGGGTGGGCGGCCCGCGTCGTGCCTCTCCCCATCGGTCGCGAGACCCTGGGTTCCTTACAGCCGGCCCGGATTCGTAGGTCGACCCTGCCAGCGCAAGGGTGCCCTCGTGTCCTGCGTCTCGCGGCACGTGCCTTCTTAGACTCCAGTGGTGCTGTGGCCTTCGGAAGGGTCTTGTGTCCTCTCGCGTGTCCTCTCCGATCAAGTCCGACAGTACAGTGAGCGGCTTGAGTAAGGAACACTTCCTTTTCAAAAGGGGCTCGGTCGTTCCTTAGACTTGCATGCGTTATTCATCATTCCTTAATGCGTTATTTTTATACATCATTCCTTCTGCGTTACTCCTTGGAAAAACAAGGGGCGTCGTTCCTTATTTATCGTTCCTTAGGTCAGGCCGATGAGTGTATCCAAGGGCTCCCTATCGAAGACCTCTGCCGTGGCAGCTCGGCTCCTGGGTCGAAAGGAGGGGAACTGGCTATGGGTATGGGTGCGAGCTGTCGGACCCCTGGGGGAAGCTCCCGGTCGAGCGGGGACCCCCCTCCGACAGCACGCACCCATGGCCTCCTCCGTCCCCCCTCTGGGTATGGGTGCGTTTTGTTCGATCGTCATCCAGGGGCCCCCTATCGAAGACCTCCGCCGTGGCAGCTCGGCTCCTTCGGCGTGCCCTGCGGTGGTGCCGCGGCGGCCGCCTCGGCCCTCGGGCCGCGGCCGGGGCGGGGCGCCCGGGCCGCCGCGCGGCCAGGCCCCGAGCCCACAGTGGAGCCCCCGCCTCGGCGCCAGGCCACGCCCCCAGCGCACCCTCCTCCTCCTCCTCCTCCTCCTCCTCCTCCTCCTCCTCCTCCTCCTCCTTCCCTCCTCCTCCTCCTCCCTCACCTCCTCCTCCTCCTCCTCCTCCTCCTCCTCCTCCTCCTCCTCCTCCTCCTCCTCCTCCTCCTCCTCCTCCTCCTCCTCCTCCTTTTCCTCCTCCTCCTCCTCCTCCACGGACTCCCCCGACGTTCCCTGAAGTCTTGGCGTTCCATTTTTGTTCCGAGCCGGGCGTTTTCATCCGCCTTTGGGCCCTGGGGCCCTCACAGATCGATCCGGCTGGAGAAGCGGCGCAGAAAGAGGGGTTCAGATGTTCTGGCTGTGGATTTCGACAATGTTTTTCCCAACCCTCCTTGGTTGGGTTCTCGTGTTGAATTAAGCACTGTGGTCGCGTCCGTCCTTCTCCTCCTCCCGCCTCCCTCCTCTGTCTATTTTTCTTCCTAGCCCTCCTTGGTTGGGTTCTCGGTTTGGAATAGAGCCCTGTGGTCGTGTCTCCTTCCTTCCTCCTCCTTCCTGCCTCCCTCCTCTCTCCCTCTCTCTCTCTCTCTCTCGCCATCCCTCGGGAGCTGCGATCTGCGAAACTGTCGCCACTCGAGCTGGGGGGCCAGCATAGTGGGCACTCGCTGCAGATTCAGAGTAGACCCCGCCATCCTTGGGGGGGGGCTGCGATGTGCGAAACTGTCGTCACTATCGAGGGGTGCTGGGGGGGATTTGGCCTCGCCAACCCTGGGGTGCTGCGGTCTGTGACACTGTCGCCACTTTCCAGGGCTGCTGTGGGGGGTACGCATAGTGGGTACTCGTCGCAGATTCAAATTGGACCTTTCCCTCCCTGGGGCGCTGCGATCTGCGAAACTGTCGCCACTTTCGAGGGCTGCGGGGGGAGGCAGCATAGTGGGTACTCGCCAGCCGTTGATTCAGATTTGATCTCGCCATTCCTGGGGCGCTGCGATCTGCGAAACTGTCGCCACTTTCAGGGGCTGCTGGGGGGAGACAGCATAGTGGGCACTCGCCGCAGATTCAGATTTGACTTCGCCATCCCTAGGGGGCTGCGTTCTGTGAAACCGTCGCCACTTTCGAGGACTGCAGAGGGGGCCAGCACAGTGGGCACTCGCCGCATATTCAGATTTGACCTCGCCATCCCTGGGGGGGTGCGACCTTCGAAATTGTCGCCACTTTTCTGGACCGCTGGGGGGGGGAGGCATTGCGGGTACTTTTCCATCCCTGGGGGGCTGCGATCCGCGAGCTTGCCGCCACTGTCGAGGGCTGCGGGGGGGAGGCATACATATATCCACCGCAGATTCAGATTTGACCTCGCCATCACTTGGGCGCTGCGATCTGCGAAATTGTCGCCACTTTCAAGGGCTGCTGGGGGGAGACAGCATAGTGGGCACTCGCCGCAGATTCAGAGCAGACCCCGCCATCCTTGGGGGGGGCTGCGATGTGCGAAACTGTCCCCGCTTTCGAGGGCTGCAAAGGGGGCCAGCGCACTGGGCACTCGCCGCAGATTCAGATTCGTTCTCGCCATTCCCGGGGGGCTGCGATCTGCGAAACCGCCGCCACTCTCGAGGGCTGCTGGGGGGGGCAACAGTGGAGAATCGCCGCAGATTCAGACTAGCCCTCGCCATCCCTAGGGGGCTGCGATCTACGAAACTGTTAGCACTTTCGAGGGCTGCGAGGGGTGGCAGCATAGTGGGCACTCGCAGCATATTCGGATTAGACCTCGCAATCCCAGGGGGGCTGCGACCTGCGAAGCTGTCGCCAATTTCGAGGGCTGCTGGGGGGAGACAGCATAGTAGGTACTCGCCTGCCGTAGATTCAGACTAGACCTCGTCATCCCTGAGTGGCTGCGATCTCCGAAACTGTCGTCACTTTCGAGGGCTGCTGGGGGAGGGCAGCGTAGTGGATACTGGCAGCAGGTTCAGGTTAGACTTCCCTATCCTTGGGGGCTGCGATCTGCGAAACTGTCGCCACTTTTGAGGATTGCTGGGGGGGGCAGCACAGTGGGTATCCGCAGCAGGTTCAGATAAGACCTCGCCATCCCTGGGGGGGGGGCTGCGACCTGCGAAACAGTGGCCACTTTCGAATGATGCGGGGGGGGCACGCATAGTGGGCACTCGCCGCAGACTCAGCTTAGACCTCGCCATCCCTGGAGTGCTGCGATCTGCGAAACCGTCGCCACTTTCCAGGGCTGCTGGGGGGCCAGCATAGTGTCGCCATACGCGAACTCAGGATCGACCTCGCCATCCCTGCGGGTGTGCGATCTGCGAAACTGTCGCCACTTTCGAGAGATGCTGGGGGGCCAACACAGTGGGGTCCCACGCGGATTCATCTTAGACCTTGCCATCCCTGAGGTACTGCGATCTGCGAAACTGCCGCCACTTTCGAGGGCTGCAGAGGGGGGCAGCATAGTGGGCACTCGCCGCAGATTCAGAGTAGACCCCGCCATCCTTGGGGGGGCTGCGATGTGCGAAACCGTCGCCACTTTCGAGGACTGCTTGGGGGGGCAGCACAGTAGGTACTCGCCGGCCGTATATTCAGACTAGACCTCGTCATCCCTGAGTGGCTGCGATCTGCGAAACTGTGGGCAGCTCAGTGGGGCAGCACAGTGTGGATCTACCCAGATGCAGATTAGAGCTCGCCATCCCAGGGAGGGCGGGGCGACCCGCGAACACGTCGCCACTGAGTGCAACTGAACGCAGGCGTACACCGAAACATTGTCTCTCTGCTCCCTATGACCTCTTGTCGTCACTCTTTGTGCTGCTGCCGTTGCCGTTGCTCCGCCTTCTCCTCTCAGCCCTCGCCCCCTCCCCCTCGACCCAGGGAGTTGACCAATCACCTCCATCAAGCCATGGTCCACTGATCGGCATCCTGCGATTCGCACATCTAGCGAGCCTCCCGAATACTGTTCGCACAAAGTATACCTCCTTGCCTCGTCATCGCCCCCTTATGAAGTCTATCCAGCTATTCCTGCCATGCGTTGCGCAAGGGTTGGGTACATCGTCAGGACGATTGTCTCGTTACGTCGGATCTCAGGATCCTCGCGCCGTCAAAACGACGGAAGTACGTTTCGCAGTCATCGGCCCGTGGGAGCCCTCTCCAGGCCCCCGGGGCCGTCAAGAAGGGGCGGCTCGGGATGAAAAACGGGTCCCTGGGAAGGGTCCCATGCCTCTGGGACGCCACGCCGAGGAGAAAGCGCGGCGCGGCGTGTCTGGGAATGGCCCTCCCGCCTCGGCGCAGGCCACGCCCCATGGCCGGGACCCTGCACGGACTCTGCCAGGACCGTGCCAGGACCTCACACGAGCAAAACTTGCCAGGACCCTAATATTTTTTTATTTGTTTTTCTTCTTGTTCTTTCTTCTTTCGAATAAAAGTTTAATGTTACAAAAGAATGACATTAAATATAAGACCCTCCCAGGACCCTCAGAAAGGGGGGTGGCCGGGTTGTGGCCTCCCCCCCCCCCCCCCCCGAGACCCTCCAAAACCCCGAACCTGGATCCTGTCTCCCCCCACCCAGGACCCTGGGGACCCTCCCAGGACCGCCCAGACCTCCGAGGTCACGATTTTTTGCACGCGGCCTCCGAGAGGCCAGGACCTCCTGTCCCTGGGCCCGACCAGCGTTCCTCCCCGAGTCGTTGTTTGTTGACGGTCCAGGTCCTTGGTGAGGGCTCCCCTTGGAGGCTTGGAAAATAGCCCGCAGCTTCCCATCGATCTTTTTTGCTGAATAGCGTTTCGCTGGAGGGTTCCAGTGGTTGTTGAAAGCGAGCACAGGCGAGTCCCACAGGGGGACGGGGAGCCCGATACCGCCTCCCGAGATCGTTTGGTCCGGCAGCAGTTTCGCACGAGACTTCCTCACACCGCGTTCAGGAGTCGTGCCGTGCTCTCGCCGGAATGCCTGGCCCAGGCGGCCACGATCCCTTGTGCAAAGGCAGACCACGGTGCGCATGACCATGCTCTCTCACCTCTGCACGAGGCCTCTCCCCCTTGCTGCGATGCTGCTATCAGGCTGCCTTGCTGGGGTAATCTCGCGACGCGCGGGCGCCAGGCCAGGCCCCCCCCCCGCCGTGGCCGCCCCAAGGCGGGGAGGCGGTGCGCCTGAGCGGCGACTTCGCCGAGGCGCTGCTGAGGGAGCGGGACCACCGGCTCTCGACCAAGAGCCAATCGCGGGGCTCAGACTGCGCGGGTCAGTGCAAGCAGGGGTGATGGGCTCGTTTCCGACCACCACCACCATAAGTCGGAGGGGGGAAGGAGGTTGAGGATGAGGAGCAGGAGGAAGAAGAAGAGGGGGAGGAGGACCCCCTCCCCCCTCCAACTTATGGTGGTGGTGGTGGTGGTGGAAAACAGGCCCGTCAAGGGGTCAGCCAGAGCGCCAGATCTTGCAGGATCCTGGAGAGCTGGGGGCGCACTGACCCGGGTAGGGGTGCATGTCCTGCAGGATCCTGCAAAGCCTGACTCACCTGGGTTTGCAGTGACCCGTGTCAGTAGACCCCCCACTGAGAGCCAATCGACACCACCCTACCTTCGACCCGTTTGGTTGTAGATGGGTCGTTGGCGGGGTGGTGCCGTAGGTGGGTCGTAGTTGGTCGTAGTTGGGCAAACGCCTGAACTTTCAACATCGCTTGGGGAAACACGCAGTCACATAAACATGCAATCTCGGAGGTCCGCGCGGATTCCTCGGATTGGCGCTGGGGCCCCCTGGCGGCGCCATCGGCACCGCCCTTTGCGCGCTCCGTGCGTCAGGGAGGGCGGTCCACCGCCGATCCGAGAAACCCGCGCAGACAACCGAGTTCTTCTTGCTTATGTCATGGTTTGTCCCCCCTATCGCTGGGTCGTGGATGGTGTCGTTGGTGGGGTGGTATCGTAGGTGGGGTGGGTGGCGTAGGTGGTCGTAGGATGGTGGTCGTAGTTGGGGTGCCCAAATTCTCAACATCGCTGGGTCGCAAGCAGGGCGCTGTCGTCGGGTTTCTGGCCCAGGCTCTGGTGGCGGGCCACCGCGGCGCAGGCCGCGTCGCAGCTGCCCGGCTCCAAGATCGAGCCGCTGGCGCGGCTGTTCGAGGGGACCGCGCGGGGCGGGGGCGGGGGCGGGGGGGGGGGGGGGCAACGTGCGGGGGGGGATGGGCTCCAGGGGAGCAGGCTCGGGGCCCTCTCGGGGCGCCACGCGGTTCGAAGCCTGGTTTCGGTTCGAGGTTTTCGGGCGGTTTCGTCGGTTCTCGGCGGCTTCTCAGCCTCGGGGTGCCTTCCAGCGGCTGCGCCTCGCCGAGGGCGTCCCGGGGCTGCCCAGATCGTCCTGAACTGCCGCCAGAGGCCCGAGTTCTGACCCGAAAATCACCAGGGCACAGGTTCAGGGGGGGGGTGCATCGACCCCCCAATCGCCCATCGACCGCCGAGAGGGGCCCAATGGCCCACGCCGCCCAGGGAGGTGCGGGGTCGCTATCGGGAGACTATGGCCGATCTACCGGCGATGCAGCGCCGATTTCAGCTCGGCGTTTCCCTCCCGAGCTGGTGCTCACCCATCGTTGCCCCTCAGGGGGCTCGTCTTAGGATCTGGCCCTGACATCCTCGCGACGTGGCAGGGGCCACCGCGGACGGCTTTCGGTGGTTTTCGGTCTCTGGGGAGCCCTCACCAAAGGCGCTGGGACTGAAGACGCGACGCGGGATGGAAAGCAGGTCCTGGGGAAGTGGTCCAGAGCTCTGGGGAACCTCGTGGTGAAACGACTCACGACGTCGGGTTTCTGGGGAGCTTCTCTTCCTCCTCATTGTCCTCATGCCTCTCACGGTCGCCACGTAGTCCTCGTCATCGATTCCTCGTTGCCCTCGCCTTCCTCTTCTTCTTCGCCCAATGCGCCCATTAGACTAAAGCGGGGCTTCCCGTTCTTGTCCGATCAGGTTCCTGGGGCGGGGGAGGAGGACTCACACGTCCGACCGACCGCAAGATGGAGGCTGCCGAGTATCTTTGTCTTGGGTATCTGTGAGCCGGCTGCGGGCCCCGGGGCCATCGGCACAAACAAGTTGATGAGAAGCAGGTCCCACGGAAGTGGTCCAGACCGGGGGGCCTCACGCATCAACACAATGCGCCGGATTTCTGGGGAGGATGTGGTTGTGGTGGATGAGGATAAGGATAAGGATGAGGAGGAGGAGGTAGGAGGAGGAGGAGGAGGAGGAGGAGGAGGAGGAGGAGGAGGAGGAGGAGGAGGAGGAGTTGGTCCCTCGCCTTCCACTCCCGCCGTTTTCCAATGGAGCGCTTCCGACAGGACACCGCCACCCAACGGGAGGGTCGTGGCTCGCCCCTGCACGCGAGTCCAGTCTGCATGCGGAGGAGAGGAGGGAGCCCACTGAAGAGTCTGGGAAGTTGGCCTCCTGCCTCCCAGTCCCGTCGTTCTTCAGTGGAGCACTTCCGATACGCCTGCGCCACCTATAGAGACGAATGGGACACGATCGTGAAGCTGCTCCGTCGGAGCCGTTTTTCCGTTCAGCTCCATGCGCAGAGCCCCAGCCAGGATCCAGGACTCAATATCGGTAGATGGTACGTGGCCGTGCGGGCCCTGCTCCGCCATTCCCCTCTTGCGAAAGCTGCGGCGAGTCCGACAGACTCACGAATACATAACGCGACCCCATGGTGGAAAGGAGGGGAAGCTATCCCAGGTGGTCTGCAACTGGTGCGCCGACGGCAACCAGGTCTTGTGGAGGCCGGCCCAATTACTTGCTGCAACACCAGTCGGGCGTTTTCCGAGGCTTGGATTTATCCATCGCCACTGCCTGGGAAACCGATGTTCCTGGGCCTCGGTAGGCGGTTGCTATGGATGTGTTCGGGACCCCAGGAAGTGTCCGGTTCGGGCCGGTTCGGGTCGGTTTGGCGGCGGACCGGTTCGGTTGCAGCGGTTCGATTTCGGCGCGGGGTCCAGTTTTGGTCGGTCCGGTTTTGCCAGTCCGGGTCGGTTATGCCGGTTCGGTTCGGCGGTCGCGGGACGGTCCGGTTTTGGGGGGGCCGGTTTTCGGCCGGAGGGTG